GTGAGGAATGGGTGTATAAAGTTTAAATAAAAATTATTTAATATTTCAGTTTTAGATAACATCACTCAATTTCATGCTATGTATGATGAGCTAAGTAACACTATGAATCTTTCCTCCTTACACCTCATCTTCTAAAAAAGGATTTTAACATTTACGTTTATTGTTGTTGGGGTGAAGTGCTATCGAGTCAGTTCCGACCCATAGTGACCTTGTATAGGGTTTCCCAGGAGAAGCTGGTCAGCTTGAAATGCCAATCTTGCAAATCAAATGACTTTGCAGTCTGGCACATTAACCCACAACACCACACTAGGAGACTCTACATTTGTTGGGTACCCATAATAAATTCACTTAGTTTAGGCTTAGTTCTACATTAAGCCCATGCTTTACACTTAGAGTTTTATTTTTATCTTTATGTATATCTGTTTGTGTATGTACAAACATATATGTAAGTGAATAGAAACACGCTGCATAAGATATTTAATATATTTAATGTAAATTCTGTTTACTAATTTTGTTCTTAATTTTCTACATAGTGTTGGCTCAACAGGTTAAAGCATGATGGATGCTGCTAACCAAAAGGTCAAAGGTTTAAGAACACTAGCAGTTAGGAAGAAAAAGATAAGACAGTTTTCCTCCATAAAGATGTATAGTATTGGAAACTCTATGGAGCAATTCTATTCTGTCCGGTAGGCTAACTGAGTCAGAATCTAATTTGTGGTTGGTGGTGATTTATACCACGAATATACTTCCATATTATGTAATTCATTTGTTCTGAACTACCTACCTGTATCGCTTAAGAAGTTTCATATTTTGTTTATTTTTTAGTATATTTTTATCTTTGAAGAATGAATACTTTTAAGATGTGGTTTATCAATATTACAAATATTTCCACCTTTACAACTTTGTCATCTACAACATTATTTTAAAGGGTAAAATATATGTTCATTGGATTTCTTTATCATTATGTAAAAAATCTCATATTACTTAATATTATTTTCTTATATTGTTCCCCTCCCACACACACACACACTTTTTGGTAACTATGATAAACAAAACTGAGTTAATTCCCTTGATAATAAATTGTTTTCATCAATTTTTTTGTAGACTAAAAAATTTTTTTTAATTACTAAGTTACATATTAAGACATGTTTTAGCCCTAGATATAAGTTCTCATATTTACCTCCAAAAATATTTTCCTATAATTAAACACAGAGTTCCCATTTCCAACTAATGACTGGCCACTGGATAGGATTTAGATTAGCAACTATTTTGTACAATTCATGGGAAAAACTATTCAAGGAGTGGAGGACCCTGGGACCATTAAGAGAGAAGAGCGGAGACCGGGACCGTACCCAGAGAAGCAGTGATGCCAGAGGTGGAGGCAGAGATGATAAGGTGGAGAGATGGAGCAGCTGGGGACTTTAAACTCAAAGAGGGAGAGAGACTGTGTGCTGAGGACCGGGCGTCAGGCTTGCAGGGTATACCCATTGGTTGGTTGATGACACATAGAGGGGATTGTAATCATGGTAATGAAACGATATATAATAGGATGAATGTAAAACTAATGTTCTCCCATGTAAAACTATCACATAATTCACAATAAAACATAAAAAAAAAATTGGAAGGTGTAAAACACAAAGTATGAATCTAGAAAATTTAGAAACCATCAAAAATGAAATGGGATGCATAAAGATCGATACCCTAAGCACTAGTGAGCTTATATGATTGTTGTTGTTGTTATGAAGTGCTGTCAAGTCGATTCCGACCCATAGCGACCCTGTACAGGGTTTCCGAGTAGCCAATGGTGACTTTGAACCCCGACCTTGCTGTTCAAATGGCTTTGCAGTCTGGTGCATTAACCCACAGCGCCACACCAAGACATGGATTAGGTACTGCCTATTCTGAATCAGACAATCATATGGTTTACTGTGCTGGAAATGACAAATTAAAGAGAAATAACCTCATACGCATGCAAAAGCTGGACAGTGAATAAGGAAGACTGTAGAAGAATGGATGCTTTTGAGTTATGGTGTTGAAGGAGAATAATGAAAGTGCCATGGGCTGCCAAAAGAACCAATAGATCCATGTTGGAAGAAGTGAAGCCAGAGTGCTCCTTGGAGGCCAAGATGGCCAAACTTTGTCTCTCATACTTTGGACATATTGTCAGGAGGGAGCAGTCACTGGAGAAGGATATCATGGTTGGTAAGGTGGAGGGTCAGAGAAAAAGAGGAAGACCCCAATGAAATGATCTGGCCACATGGCAGCTTCTATGGACTGAAGCGTGGCAACAATAGTGGGGTTGGCCCAGGATCAGGCAGTGTTTTGTTCTTCTGTGCATAACGTTACTACTAATGTGTTGGTACTGACTCGATGGCACCTAACAGCAACAACAACATGGTTGACATTGTGAAGAATGAGAAATCCAGAACACTTAAATATGCTCATTAGGAATCTGTAAATAGGTAGTTGCTCAAACAGAACAAGGGGATACCTGCATAGTTAATAATAAGGGACAGTTAAGCTCAGGGTTGTATATTTTCACCATACTTATTTGAGCTGAATACTGAGCAAATAATCTGAGATGCTAGATTATATCAGGATCATAATATCAGATTTATGGGAAACTCAGTAACAACCTACATTATTCAGAAGGCTCAATCTTTCTTGCTGGAATGAAGACTTGAAATACTAATAAAGATCTAACACTACAGTCTTCAGTATGGATTGCACCTCAATGTGAAGAAAATGAAAATCCTCACAAATGGACCAATAAATAATACTGTGATAAATGGAGAAAGGATTGAAGCTGTCGAAGATTTATTTTTGCTTGGATTCAAAATCAACTTTTATGGAAACACCAGTCAAGAAATCAAATGACATACTGCATTGGACAAATCTGCTGCAAAAGACCTATTTAAAGTGTTCAAGAGCAAAGATGTCACTTTGAAGACTAAGGTGCACCTGAACTAAGCAATGGTATTTTCAATCACCTCATATACATAGAAAAGTTGAACAATGAATAAAGAAGACCACAGAAGAATCAATACATTAGAATTATGGTGCTGGAAAAGAATATTGAAAGAACCATAGGCTGTCAAATGAACAAACAAATCTGTGCTGGAAAAGTAGAACCAGAATGCCCCTTAGAAGCAAGGATGGCAGGACTTCATTTTTACAAGTTTGAACATGCTGCCAGGAAAGGTCACTGCTTGGAGAAGGACATTATACATGGTAAAGTGGAAGGTCAGTGAAAAACAGAAAGACATCCAACGAGATGGAATGACACAGGGGTAGCAACCATGGGCTAAAACCTAACAACTGTGATTATGACGCCATATTAGGCATTATATAGGGCAGCTATGAGTCACAACTGGCCTGACACTACCAAACAAGAACAATATGAAATAGTCTTATTAGAGTTATAAAATTCCACTTGATTCAAATAGTAAGACAAAACATATGACCAATGTTGTTGTTAAATGCCGACCCTGTACAGGGTTTCCAAGGAGCAGCTGGTGAGCGTGAACCACTGACCTAGAGGTTCAAACTGACTTTGCAGTCCACGGCATTAACCCACAGTTTCATACCAGGTCTCCTATTAATAAAAACTTTTTCTCCTCTATTTTACTCAAAAAAAGACAAATAATTCAACCGACCTAATAACAAAGAAAGCTAAGCACTAAATTCCTGTGTAGTGCCATAGTATAAGTACTGGACTGCTAGCAGCAATGTCAGCAGTTCAAACACACCAGCCATTCCTCAGAAACCCTACAAAGGGTCACTATGACTCAGAATGGGCTCACATCACTTAACAACATTAATAAAGGTTCTCCTGGGAAGTTTATTCATTTGAAATGTTGATTCCTAAAAAAAGTTATATTTCTCTGAATTTATCACAACTGCTTCCCTCCTATTAATGGAAAATAAAGCTTGGGTAATAAAAGTAACTTAAACTTGACTAGAAAACGAGCTCCTGAGAGAAAATATGAAAGATTAAATCTTAAATAGATACCTAAAAAAACACAATGGCCTGCTCAGCAAAGTAACCTCACTAATTAAGAAACACGACAAGGGGCTTCAAAAGTTTGTGGAAAACTCCAATTATCATTTAATTACTTTTTACATGAATTTTTTGCAGTACCTTAGAATTTGCGGACATTTAAGGAAAACGACATTCAGAATCTCTAGAAAACAATCACAGTAACTTGAATGACCAAAGAATACAATTTCATTCGCCCACATCAAAAATTGGGTTCTTATCTTTATGTTCTTTATATATTAAATCCTTCCTAAGTAACTGTTTGTAAAGCTAAAACATACTTAAGAACAGGTCATCTTTAATATTTCACACATAGGACAAAAAAATTACAATACACACTCCACAAGTAAAAAAATTTAAGCTTTTATTAATTTGAAAAATAATGAGTTAGGGATAAAACAAAAATTAATCACTTAGTATACATTGGTAATAAGGTTCTAATCTATTATGAATATCAGACATTAATGATGACAACTATAATTTCAAGTATGTAAGAGTCTTAAGAGACAAATGTATTATGAATATGGCTTAAGAAATTACTCTGAATTTTTCTTTTTTTGGTTGTATACATTTCCAATTCATTTTTGAATCTAAAATGTCTAAACTTTACTTGGTGAACTCAATAATGGATCTATAATAATTAAATAGCTCTTTCTCAAATCTACCACATATGCTCCCTGACCATTGAGTACATTTCTTCAAAGACATTCTCTCCCCAAAATTAAGCATCTTAATTGGTAAGAGGTTTGTAATAAAATGAGTATTAAGAAGTAAGAAAACCAGCAAATTACTCTTGTTAAAATCACATTCTGTTAAGAAAATACCATGGATCAATTACTTCTCCAAAATTATAAATTTGGATTACTAAAATGCACATATTTTTTCTATTAACATAAGTGTAACAAGTAATGCCCATGTGACAAAAAATAAGACTTTTACCAGAAAACAATTATTATTCTACCTGTGTCTGAATCTTGTTCTTCATTTCTTGATGGGCTAATAGTAAAGGGAAGTTTACGTTTCATGGATGATTTCTCTTTCATCTCCTTTCCCACATCACTTCGATCAATTTTTGGTGTTTTGCTATAGGATGCAATCTTGTCTTTACTCTATTAAGAAATTAAATATACATGAAATTATCACAAAACTAAGATACGCAATGAATTTGAAAAAAAAAAAAAAAGCAAGCATCTTAACTAACAAAAATTTCTGCCATACATAAAAATAGAGCGGAGTATTAAAAACCATCACTATATAATGTACTCACTATAAAATATACTCAAGATCCAGCTTCAAAAATTACATTTTCTGTATTGTTCCATACACATTAATACTATTTAATAACAGAAATTCAAAATAGCATTAAAACTAACTTGAATATTGTTGTTGATGTTGTTTAGTATGGTTGAGTCAGTTATGACTCACAGTGAAACTGTATAGAGTTTCCAAGAAGTGGCTCGAGGGTCTGAATGGCCAACTTTGCAGTTAGCAGTACTGTGCTTATCCTATAGCACCACATGAGGCAACCAAACTTGCAAGATAATCGACTATGAGGTCTGTTTGAACCACAGGTTTTTGATTCAAACTCACCAGCTGCTCACTGGAAACTCTACACAAGGTCACTATGAGTCGGAATTGACTTGACAGCACTTCACAACGACATATAATCTTAACTGAGTCCTGGTGTGGTACTATGGGATTCAGCACTGGACCACAAGATCGGTTTGAACTACAAGGTTGGCAGTTCAAACTCACCAGCTGCTCCTCAGAAACCCTAAATAGCCTTGCTATGAGTTGGCACCAACTCGACAGCACTCAACAACAACATATCTTAATAGTGGCTTCACAGCATAAGCAAAGGATTTCAAACGACAAAGCTAGTGGTTCCTGTCCATCAGCCGGTCCTTGGGAGAAATATAAGGACTTCTGCTCCCACAAAATAATAAAAGCCTCAGAAACCCTGTACAGTAGGGGTGGGGAAAGTAAAGCCCATGGCCCTCAAAATCATTTGATCTGACCCTGCCAAAACAACTGTAGTTCCAGCCATTATATTGGTGGTGGTTAATTAAAAGTTTGAACAAATATGGCAGGCTAATTTTTAAGTTGCTAAATTTTATTCAGCCTGAGAATGTTGTTATAAATATCCAAATGGCCTGTGGCAGAAAAAAGGTTCCCCTCCCCTGCTGGAGAGTCAGAGTCAACTCCTTGACACTTAACAACAACACATGTCTAAACAGAATCTAAATATTTGGCACATAACCACCACCACCACCAAGGCAGCTCTAGAAGGGGGAGAAATGGACTATTTTCAAATATTTAGTCACTGAAAACCTTGTGACCTAGCAGTAGAACATTGTCAGATAGCACCAGAATACTGACTACTGAAACATAATGAAGAGCATCAGAATACTGTCAGATATAGTGTCAGAAAATGAGGAGAAACAGCTGTTATCCAATAATAATCAAAACAGAATGTACGAAGTATAAGTCTAGGAAAACTGAAGTTGTCAAAATGAAATGGAATGCATAAACATTAAAATCCTAGGCTTAATGAGCTGATATAGACTCTGACTGGTCATTTTGAATCTGACAACCACATGGTTTACTATGCCAAGAATGACAAATTGAGGAGGAATGGCATTGCATACATCATCAGAAAAAACATTTCAAGATCGACCTTGAAGTATAACACTATCTATGAAAAGATAATATCTAAATGCCTACAAGGAAAACCTGTTAATACAACTATTATTCAAATTTAAGCACCAACCATTAGTCAAAAAGTTGATGGATGAAATTGAAGAATTCTACCAACTTCTCCAGTTTGATATTGATCAAAAACACAATCAAGATGTATTGATAATTACTGGTTTTTGATTGGAATGCAAAAGTTGGAAACAAAAAAGGAAGGATCATTCATTGAAAAATACAGCCTTGGTGATAGAAATTGTCGTGGAGATTGCATGATAATATTTTGCCAGACAAATGACTTCTGCATAGCAAATAACCTTTTTAAACAATATTAAGTTGATTATCCAAATTTACCTCACCAGATGGAATACAAAGAAATCAAATTGACTATGTCTGTGGAAAGAGAAGATGGAAAAGCTTGATATATTTAGTGAAAACAAGGCCAGGCAAAGACTATAAGACAGACCAGCAATTGTTCATATGCAAGTATCAGTTAAAGCTGAAGAAAATGAAAACAAGTCCACAGAGCCAAAATATGACCTTGAACATAGTCCACCTGAATTTAAAGATCATCTGATGAACAGATTTGATGCACTGGACACTAAAGACTGAAGACTAAAAGAGTTGTAGGATGACATCAAGAACATCATATAGGAAGAAAGCAAAAGGCCATTTAAAAGAAAGAAGGAAAAGACCAAAATGTATGTCAAAAGAGACTCTGAAACTTGCTCTCCAGTGTAAAGATGCTACAGTAAATGGAAGAACTGAGAAGGTAAAAGAGCTTAACAGAAAGTTTCAAAGGGCAGCTCAAGAAGACAAAGTCCAACAATATAATGAAATGTGGAAAGATTCCTGGAGTTAATAAACCAACAGGAAAGAACTAAGAATTTCTCAATTGAGGGAAGTGAAGAAAAAAATTCAAGCCTTGATTTGCATTACTGAAGGATTCTCTGGGAAAATTATTGAATGATGCAGAATGCATCAAAAGAACATAGAAAAAAATGCATAAAGTCACTGTAGCAAAAAGACATGGTCAATGTTGAACCACTTCAATAGGTAGCATATAATCAACAGCCAGTGATACCAAAGGAAGAAGTCCAAGTTGCACTGCAGACGGCAAAAAAACAAACAAACCAGGGTCCAGTAATAGATGGAATACAAATAGATATTTTTCAATAAACTGATGCAGCACTGGAGGCACTCACTCATCTATGCAAGAAATTTGCAAGACAGCTACCTGGGCCAACTGATGGGAACAGATCCATATTTATGTCCATTACAAAGAGAGAAGACTCAAGAGCATGTGAAATTCATCAGACATCACTAATATAACCCACGAATAAATTTTTACTAAATATAATTTAAAAATGGATGCACAGTACATTGACATGAACTGCCAGAATTTCAAGCCGGGTACAGAGGAGGACATAGAACAAGGGATATAATTTCTGACGTCAGATGGATCTTGTCTGAAATCAGAGAAAACGAGAAAAATCTTTACCAGTGCTTTACTGAATACACAAAGGCTTCTGAATGTGTGGCTATCTGACAAGCTATGGATAACATGGCACAGAATAAATATTCCCGAACAATTAATTGTAATCGTAAGGAATCTGTACATATATCAAGAGGCAGTTTTTCTAAGAGAATAAGGGAACACTGAATGGTTTGAAATTAGGAAGAATGTGTGCCAGGGTTGTGTTCTTTCACCGTATTGAGTCAATCTGAGCAAATAATTCGAGCATCTGAATTCTATGAAGAAAAATATGGCATCAGGATTGGAGGAAGACTAATTCACAACCTGTGATACACTTGCTGAAAGAGCAGAGGACTTAAAAAATACTTACTGATGAAGATCAAAGACCATAGCCTTCAGTATGGGTTGCACCTCAATGTAAAGGAAACAAAATTCCTCACCACTGGACCAGTAAACAACATCCATATAAATGGAGAAAAGACTGAAGTTGTCAAAGACTTCATTTTGCTTGGATCAACCATCAACACTAATGGAAGCTGCAGTCAAGAAATCAAAGGACATACTACATTAGGCAAATCTGCTGTACAAGCACTCTTTGAAGTGTTCAAGAAAAAAATAACAAATGTCAGTAAGTTTGCAGACGAATTGGAACTGGAAAATGGAGCAATGGCTAAGGAAAACAGTTTGACAGTTACTCAAAAAGTTAAGCACACAACTCCCATATTCTACTTATATATAGATCCAAAAGAACTTACAACAGGGACTCAAATGTGTATTTATAAGATAGTGTTCACTGCAGCATTATTAAAAATAGCCAAAGAATCGAACAAATGAAATGTTCATCAAAAGATGAATGGATAAACAAAATAACAGAGCTTCAAAAACTTCCTGGAAAAATGGAATTGAAAGATAATGGAATTTCTTCATGAACTTTCTGAAGCCCATACCTACAATGAAATACTGTACAGCTATAAAAAGGACTTAAGTTGTATATACTACAACATGAACAAATCTTGAGAACATTATAATTGATTAATAATTAAGTCATACACAAATGGACAAGTGTTATGAATATACTGTGGGCTCGAAAAGAACCAACAATTTGGTCTTGGGAGAAGTATAGTCAGAATGCTCCTTAGGAGCAAGGATGATGAGACTTCATCTCTCATACTTTGGACATGTTACCACTGGACCAACAAACAACATCGCTATCAACGGAGAAAAGATTAAACTCAAGGACTTCATTTTTCTTAGATCAACCATCAACACTCATGGAAGCAGCAGTCAAGAAATCAAACGACATATGGCATTAGACAAATCTGCTGCACAAGACCTTTTTAAAGTGTTGAAGAGCAAAGTTATCAGCCTGAGGACTAAGGTGCGCATGACCCAAGCCATGGTATTTTCAATAACCTCATATGCATGCGAAAGCTGGCCAGTGAATAATGAAGACCATAGAAGAATTGATGCATTTGGGTATGGTGTTGGAGGAGAATATTGCAAGTGCCATGGGCTGCCAAAAGAACCAACAGATTTGTGTTGGAAGAAGTGCAGCCAGAGTGCTCCTTAGAGGTGAAGATGGCCAAACTTCATCTCTCCCACTTCGGACATATTGGCAGGATGGAGCAGTCGCTGGAGAAGGATATCATGTTTGGTAAGGTGGAGGGACAGAGAAAAAGAGGAAGACCCCCAGAGAGAGGTGGATTGGCAAAATGGCAATATCGATGGGCTCAAGCGTGGCAACAATAGTGAGGTTGGTCAAGGACCGGGCAGTGTTTCATTCTGTTGTGCATAGGGTAGTTATGAGTCGGTACTGACTTAAGCCAACACGATGGCACCTAACAACAACAACATCAGGATAAATCAGCCCCTAGAGTCCTGGTGTGGTACTTAGGATCAGCAAATGGATTGCAACCAGAAAGCAAGCAGTTCAAACCCACC